TGTTATGTCCATTGATGATGCATTAGGAGGCAGGCTTTCATCTGTAGCTCTGGGGCACAGCATCCAGAGGGGCTGGCAGCCAATGTGCCGTCTACATATGGAGCATCCTAACAACTGCATTTGCAGAAACAAGCTGCCCTTCCTCGTGGCTCAGGAGCCAGGGGCTGGCTGAGGAGAGGCTGATATGCCACCAGGAACGCCGCCATGGCACAGGCACACAAAAACAGGCAGAGATTATTCCTTTTTAAAACTCGGTGGAAAAGGGTGTAAATCCGCAATGTAGCAGTGGAATTCCATAGAACCAAAATATGTATCAGATTAGCTTATGGGGGTGGGGGGGGGGGGGTTCATGCCCATGGTTTTATAATAAAATCATGGTTTTATAATAAAATATCAACAAAACTAACCTCAGCTGAGAACAGCATCATAGCACATTTACCATATAATGGAGATTTGGCTGAAATGTACCGCATGTAAAAAATGTAATCTGTATTTAATTGTAATTAAAATTAAATGCAATTAAAAATGTCTTTTTTTTTTTTTACATTCTCCAAGAACTGAAAGAGACACTTCCCAACTTAGTTTGTTATATTCTGAGTTATATTCTGTGCGCAACACCTCGCATTAGTTGTGGTATTTGTCACAGAATTGTTCTTGCGCGTCTCCCACACCGGTGAACTGCAAGCTGGGCGTCAGCGCTGCATAGCAGGCCACCCAATTAATTAAAGTAATTTCAGAGTTGTTCCGAACTAGTCAAGGGCTGCCTTTTTTGGCTTACGGGTTGCGGCAGACGGGTAGCTGGCTTATTAATAAGGGATTTGTTTTCTATTTCGGCAAATACAGTTTGGAAGCACGGCAGACTGCATGGGTAACGATGCTCAATGAAGGTGCACGAGAGAGACACACCCCAGGCAATTCACAACGAGGTATTTACACGCACACACAATTTACAAATTCCTTTTTTTAATTACTGATAATTTCCAGTGACTATTGATTTGCATGTTTAAATCTTGTTTTAATTTCTGGATTCAATATGTCCAGATGACTTCCCTTAACTGTTCACAGCCCAATGGGGACAAATGAGGACAAAACTAATAACATAAAACATAAAAACCCAAAGCTACAGTAGCACAGAGAAGGGAGTATCAGCTTGATACCTACAGGTTTGCGTGCACAGCATCGAACGCAAAAAAAAATTATATATACACACACAGACACACACACACTTGATTCAATGATTATACTTGACTCACTGATAATTGTGATTGCAGCATATTATATGCGCTGTAATCAGAATAAAAAAATCACTGAAGTAAATTTGCAGACTGGTATTTCCCACAAAGATTTGAAGAAACAAATTATTGCCATTATTCTAAATAATTGGGAGGGTACTATAGTAAAATAGATAAGTATGGTCTTTCCTTTGCCCCGATAAGAATTTACATTTCACTGAAAGACAGCAAAATGGAGCAATAAGTGCGCTTCAGATATGACGCATGAATTATACACATCTGATACCGGCTCATATTTTTAAAAGGAAAAATCACAGCAATCAGCAACTGGTGATTGCAAGAATTGTATCATTTCCTGGTGAAACAATGCACATGTACTTTGCCTTACTAAGGCTGAGATCACAGGACAGGCTGAGCTCTCTCTCCAGGCGAGCGCGGCTCATAACCAGAAACGTCACCGCGTGATTACACAATCTGGCACACTTAATTTTTCATTAAAAATTAGATAAAAAAAGGTGAGAATTGTCAAAATCCTACTTGCTTCAACAAAGGTGTCTGTGCAGAGATACTGGAACAACTGTTGAAAAAAAACACAGTGAGACAATTAAAACTGTATAGTTTCACTGATTCTGTCAGCAGCTATGACCTTCAGTCATGTTTGTGGTGTGTATCGGGGGGGGGGGGCCAACACCAAAATTTATTATCCCCAGATGAGTCTCCCCAGGATGACAGGCGGTCACAGCTTTCACCTGGCCTTCTAAAGGATAATACAGAATCGACAGCCAGAGATTCAATTAATATTCCACCATTTCTCCCAGTTTGCTTATAATGAGTCAGCTGCATCATGCAATTCCAAGCAATACAAGCTATCAGGGTGTTTCCAAAGATATTCTCACATCTCTCACAAAATATCAGCCATTGCATCGTTTTTCCAAAGTGTAAACTGTTCATTATTAAAGTTATGCACAACGAAGACTACCACATCACACAGACCTTTGTTAACATATGTCGAGAAACAGAAAGTATGCAATATCGCATGCAAACGTCCAGTCTAAGCCCCAGGGTTAACTGTAGTATGGGCACTCAATAAGCTTAGAAGGCCTACAACCTTGAAAAAGTGCATTTCTGAACCTACAATTTTTGGCCTCGTACTCACCGGAAGACCATCTCATCACTCTGTGTCAGTCAGAAGCTTCTTGACATCTCCTTGCACCACAGCTTTGCAAGAACAACATGCAAGCACATCATCAATGCCATAAACGATAGAGGCATCCAGTATGGAAGCTCGGGCCGCGTCTTACACAAAGTTACACAAGGGCAGATAAGGTTAAGTTTGCTAAAGGCCACAATTAAGCCACAAGGTTAAAAAAAAATGATCTTTGAAACATTTGTCTATTTACTCAATACTTGACTCATTGATAATATAGGCCAGTGGTAGACAACTATATTCTGTCAAGAGCTGCAAAATCTTTTGGTTACCTTTACAGAACACCAAGTGAGGCGATTACTCAAATTAAGGATTGGATAAGGCAATTACAACAAATTCTAAAATAAACCCCATCACACTCTGAGGACGATTTAAGGATCAGAGTTTCCCTGACATTCATACAGAGCCGCGGCCTTGCATCCTGACGTCCTGAAAAGGAAACTCTGTGGTCCCTAAAAACATTTGTTTGAATACCGAACAAATGAATGAAACTGGCAAGTGACTATAGAACCAAGTCATTTACAACCAAATCCCTATGTATTCTCATCATAAGACAGAATATTATCACAATTTTTTTTGTACAATAAAAGGTATCCATCATTAATGTGTAACTCAAATTGCTCTCAGTCTTAATATGCATTTATTCAACACTTTGCACAAATGACTAATGTGCTATAATACCACAAAATTGACACCTATACAATTTAAATGTATAGTGTGTGACTTTTTACAATGTATATGCTAGCATACACATTAAAATCCCTATTTATGATAGGTGAAAGAATGGTAAAATGTATCAATGAACCCAAAAAACTGTAGTCTTTAAAAATGAAATTCTGCTATTCATCTTCGATAAAACCTTTACCTTTTTCTTTCATTCAAAGTTCTACCACAAATTTTAGCAGCTAGCAAAAACAAACCTTTCAGTTCCTGCAATAATTTATAATTTTAACATACATTTATGCAATGTATCCTGCTCTTGTACTTCACTGGAGTGCATCAGAGATGTCCCACTTTTAAACACGTCTAACTGTGAGCCAAGGTGAACTGTGGAGCCATATTGCAACCAACAGGGGGAAATCTACAAACTACTTTGATCTAAGCAGCTTCGATCTGAGGCGACTCACCCACAATGGAAACACATCTCGTCTTTTGAATGCAGGCGGCAAGGAGATTAGAGGTTAACAGTGCGGTTAATGCTGGTCCCAGAAGGGGCCATTCTGTTGTACCCATGAGAAAAGCACTTAACCTGAATCCCTTCAGTAAATTATCCAGCTGAACAAACAGATAGCTTAGAATGTGTTTAATAATGTATGTGTGTGACTTTGGATAAATGTGTCTGCGAAACAAAAGGATAACACAAATAAGGTGACATGTACAGCCAAAGCAGCAGGTTCATTAAATCATCATCAGTTCATCCTCTAAGTCCAAGGTCTAGATCTCCATGGCACTTCCAAGAAGTCTGGAGTCATCTTTGCACTCTTATATACTTAAAACATATATAAAAACTGATTTCGAAGTCAAACTATAAGAATGGCAAAGCCTAATTGCCACCCAAACAGCAAACAATGGATTGTTACAACTCCCCGCAAAAACTTGATACACACTTTTAGCCAGGATAATGCTGATCCACCATTTTAGCAATCAAACTGTTGCAATTGTTCAGCCAGAAAAGAAGATAGTTTCAATACCGCAACACAAGTATTCATTATTTATAATCAAAACCAATGTTTGGTAATATTAGGCAACCTGCAGTTTATGGAAATTATACGGTAGGACTACTATGGGGCTGCCGACGTTAACATCAATCAAAAACATGCTCCTATAACTGATTAAGAGAGTCGTTCCAGTGCATTGCAATATCTGCATGCTTTGAAAAGACGACGTAACGTCGGATCCGCAAGAAAAAAACAACTATGCATTGTGTGCATGTGACAGTTTACTTACTGCAACAAAAATGTGTCATCGCCGACTTGATGCCAAAAAAGGCGAAGGGAGCTGTTAGCCTTTACCAGAATAACGTCGTTATTGAACTCGACAGCCAAGCGTACCTAGTGTTCGCATACATATTTCTTTAAAATTAAACAAAAAGCCTGGCAAGGCTATCTGAATTCATCCTCTCGAAATAGAAAATCCAAAGGTCCTCCATGATGTCAAAAGACCCGACCCTTTTTTGTTATCAAGACATCTTAACAAATAAAAACGGGAATCCAGTTAAATGATCAACTGCTGATTCCTGATCCGATCGACTGAAACTGCCACAAATCGGTCGGCAGATCCACGCTTATCGATGCAACCGATGGAGAAATAAATTATATAGCTAGCTGCTTTTCCGAATGGCCTCTTGAGATTTTTTTTTTTTTTTTTTTTTGCCTTGATACTCCATATCAAGCAGACACCTATGTGACTGGGTGCACAGCACGATACCTAAGCTACGGCCTTGGCATTGCTAGGGCTCCTCATTTCCCGGCGGCTCGTTTGCATGCACAACAACAACAACAAAAAAAACATTTTCGCGATCCCCAAAGAATTAGCACGGAAGAGCAATGGATTCACGTTACCTTCCTTTGCCTTCACCGGTACCGTGATATGTTGCTGAGAAAGCAAGCCCAGTGTTGGGGACGTGGAGAGCTGGGACCAAGATGGCGTCCCCTCCAAACTTCCACCACTTCCACTGTTACTTTGGACACTCATCAAGCTACTTTTCAAGACTGGGGGGGGAAAAAATCAAGCGAGCCGCCGGAGAGTTAGTGACACCGAAGCCCCGAGGATGGGGCGGTCAGCGAAACGTGCGATCCGTCGGCATTAAGCGGCGCGTAAACAGTGTTTTTAGGAAATTGCCCGAGAGCGTAGTTTGGACAGGAGCCTCCGTGCACCTCTGCAGTGCGTCTTGAAGTAGCCTGGGAGTGTAACCTTAGCATCGGGCGTCACGCATCGCCTAAGCACAGACACTATCGCGAGGCTCCCGCACCTCAGGCGCATCCTAACGAGCTGTTCCGGAGTGACTCCCGAAGATGCACGACTGCCAAGCGCTGCCTTTAACTCCTTTAATCAAGACCTTTCAGATCGTACGCTGCACCACTTACAGTTCGTCGACGTATATAAAAGCATTTTACGGCTGCATGATTTTTGACAAAGTCACGTAAAATTAGTTATAGCTTGGGAGGAAATTCTTAACACGATGAATAGATAAACTACAAGTGGTTTTTAAACGCTTTAGATGAGTGCATGAAAATATTAGAAGTATATACGTGTTTTGTTTATGTTTTGTTACGCATTATGCTTGCGATAATGAATGTATCCTATAAAAAGTCTTTAGTCGAGACATCTTGCATATTCGTTATAATTTCCATTCATTTTTTATGCCCGCTAGTCCTATGCAGGGTCGCGGGAGTCCGTAGTCTGTCCCGGAAGCTATGGGCGCGAGACTTGGCATGTTTTTGGGAAACCGGACTGCTACAGATGATAAAAAAAACAGCTACTTTAAGAACTTGTGAGATACCTCAGGATGGTGGCAACCACTTGCCTTGAGAAACGCAGTTGCTCTTATCAGGAGAATAAGCGGTTCTTGGGATTCTTAGTTCCTAAGTATTTTTAGATTCAGGAAGCATGCACATCCCTTGGAGGTGATGTACAAGGTTGAAAATATACAACAGAAGTGAAGTTAATCATGAATGCATTGATGGTATTTTTAGTAAATTAAATTGTCCGCTAAACTGCAGATGGCAGCGTTATATTGGAGTAACGAAGTATATGAATGCGAAGATCTGTCAGTAATTGGGGGATATATGACACCATATAAAGTTATGTACCATAAATGTATGTTATACATATAAGTCCACATCACAAAGGGTGGATCATATATTCACTGTGTACAACTTGATCTTATTGAAACAAATCACAAGTTGCTTGTGTTGTGACACCCTGCCACTAAATATGGTGAGCTGCAAGTCGTGAAGAATGTATATAATTACACGGCTTAGTCATGCATGCGAGTGGCATCCATTATGCGAATTAGACCTTTACTGTAGCATTGCACTTGGTGGAAACTGGAAACAATCAGGAAAAAACTGAGCCGTTACAAATAGCACAAATAAGTCAACAAAGATGCTTTTGTCATGGGAGCTGATTATCACTACTTCTGTTAATTTTAAAAAAAAATAATACCAGGAACACATATTATAAGATGTACTTTATTTTAAAAAGAGGTATATACAAAGCACTGATAAGGGGTCCAAAACAAGACGTTTAACATCAAATTTAACTAAAATAATTTAATAAAAAGGTATAGATACTAATCAGCAATGTACTGAAACATACTGAAAACTATTATTATTATTATTATTATTATTAATAATAATAATAATGTACAGTGCATGGCATCACACAAATTGTGAAATTTAGAGCTCATTAAGAAGTTTGCTTCACATTAATAATTCAAAAACCTTTTATTTCCAGTACTTATTTCCAATGTTGAAAAGTGAAATTAAAGTACATTTTATTGTTTTTACAATAATATATGAAATAAAATTATTTAATGTGTTATATTCACAGTTGTTTTCTTTCATTCTTTGAAATGTCTTCACTGAGTTAAATAGATGGTGACACACTCTCCCTATGCTGTCAGAACCATGCAGAGACCGGCACCAGACCCTCTCACACCTCTCTGGTCCACCGTCATACTCCTGGAATTTGGAGCCATTCACGGCGATGGGCAGGGCTTCCGGAACTTCCCCTGCATCCACACTCGTCGCATGACCACCTTCTTCCCCCTGTTCACCTGCAGCCTCCTGTCCTCCAGGTTCTGAATCTCCTCCAAACCAGCGCTCTTGAACAGCTCATGAATTTCATCTGTCAAGACATTGTCGTTCAGTGTCAGCTTCTAGCACAAGAAGCCTTTCACATTCTAAGATGTTCCTGGTGAAACCACAGGTTATAGGTTCAAATCCCAGTCCAATCCCATGAGTATATTGCAATTTCATTTTTTGGAAAAGTATATGTGGGTGGTTAAGTATGCTAAGCTCAGAGGTGGAGATTTCAGGTCCAGAGAGTACAAGTTCATACCAAGATTTTGTTTCAACCAACCAGTTGAGTACTCTGTGACTGGAACTCTTTATACTCAACTGGTTGATTGAAACAAAATCTTGGTCTGGATTTGTACTCTCTGGACCTGAAATCTCCACCTCTGGATAGGCCTCGGTGCCTCTGAACAGAAGGTCGCCGGTTCATGCCTAGCCTCAGCACATCTGTGGGTCCTTAAGCAAGGCCCTTAACCCCCAGCTCCCTGGGTGTCGTAATAGGTGGCTGCCCTTTGTGGTCAGCTTGCTCTCACCTAGGGGAGGCGTAAAGAGAATTTCCCCTTGGGGATCAATAAAGTATCTACTATTATTATTATTATTATTATTATTATTTAAAACAAAAGTATTTAAGTACAGCAAACATTTAAATATCAAAACCCAGCCCCAAGGTACCTTTTGTAAAGAAATATACACACGTCCCATCTCCTCGAGTGTAAAAATTCTCTGACAAGCAGCGACCTGTTAAAAGAAGAAAATAGTCATTGTTTCAGAGCTGTGACTTGTAAACGCTTCTAAAATTATCTCATTTCCTCATTTCAGTGCACAACATACCACCAGGGAATTTTATATATATATATATATAATATATATGGTATGGTATATGGTATGNATATATATATATATATATATATATACACACACACACTGTATATATATATTTTTTTATTCTCACACATACACCTATACATATGCCTATAAAACAATATGCCTGTATAACAGGACAGGAAGTGCATTTAGGTATGCATGCTAATGCTAATCTTCTTTTGCACAAAAGATTTGCCTAAGTGTGAGCTGTATATTATTTCTTCTTTCATTCATCCATGGTTTTGCCTTCTATTAGGAAAGTACCATTTGGGTAAAAACTCAGGGTGAAACCAATACAGACATTAGCATTGGTATGGGATTTTATGCCACCAGAACTACAGTGATGAAATAAGTGTCTGTCGAATGGATTGCAACCAGTGCCGGACGAAGAGGAAAAACCACTAAGGGTGCATGTGAAATTAGTGAGGGATCAGGATCCCTGCAGCCATGTCGTCGTCACAGCCTAATTGGCCTTCACCTCAGGGCATACATCATTAACTTGAGGGTGCTATGCATCAAAAAACAGAAAAGGCACCTTTCTTAAATCGAAGCTGAGACAAGTCGTATCGGCCATAATCTCGGAACAGAAGCACCCCACCGGGTTTCAGGAAGTGGGCCAGGCGGGACACAACGTCCTGTACTCTGTTGGAAGAATCAGAAAACAGGCATTTATTTCACAGCACTGAGCATAACAGATGTGTGCCACTTATACAAAGGTACATCTAACTGTTTCAAAATTAAACTGCTCCTGTAGCTCAACAAGTTGAGGATTATGTTAATGCTAAGGCAGTGGGCTCAAATCCCAAAGAACACACATAAATTGTGACCCTTCCCTCTACCATAACTTGCTTTGTCTAATAATATCAGCTGCAGGTGAATAAGGTTCTGAGGCTGCAATAAAGAATGGAATTTTATATATGTGTGTGTGTGTCATGGTGATCACCATCAACTTTTTGCAAATTTACTTGTGGTTAGGAAGCCATGCAAAGTTAAATGGGTATTTGATATATTCAGATTTTGTTAGTTTAAAGCCACGGGGCTTTGCCTTAATACTTGTGACCTGCTCTCAAGTACAATCCCGTCAATTACTGAGCCAAGCCTCTCAATCTACAATTTAAAGACTCATATTTAATAGTAAATCACAAAGGCCTTTAGGTTTTACATGATGTTTTTTTTTCCTGGCTGCATATCTTCTTCACTTCTAAAATTCAAAAACTGCAACATGTTTGTTAAAGGCAGTTGAACTAGAGAAGGCACAGGAAAAGCACTTTTAGCAGGGTTCAGGAAGGTGAGGATGCAGAAAAGCCTGAAACCTGCACAGTCGACCAGTCACCTTGTGTTTTTATGGATGGATGAGTACAAGCCTCATTCATTCAAATTCAATACAAACCTTTCCCTGGAAACGCAGGACAATGTACACTGTGGAAGAGATACACGGCGCCATTTTACACATACGCACACACCAGACACACACACAGAGCAACAGCAAATCAGAATGACCAATTCTGTTGAACTGCCCAGCTGTAGGTTAAGGGAGGACACTGGACTATCATGAACAAACCCTCACAAAAACCAAACAAAACCCCCCGGGGGAATATGCAAAACATGCAGCCAGGGGCAGATTGGACCCCAAAACCTCAGGAGCTGCAGCCGACTCCTGACCGCAGTGCCATCATGATTTATTGATTTCAGGCCTGGAAGCACCTGAGCCGGCAGTCGCCTGCGCAGCCGCAGCGGCTGAGCATATGGCCGCAGACGCCCTGGAGAGTGCAGCGGCAGCTGTCCACATCGCAGACCCCCCTCTGAGGATGGCACCCTTCACCCCGGCTAGTCATCATCTTCTCATCTCGTCAGCGTGGCTCCTTCACTTCCTGCATTTTTCCACAAACCCCTCTGCAGACTCTTACCTGGCTATTAACTGTAGCACTACCTGCTCCTTAAATGACTTCAAAGCATAAAGTGTTGTGCAGCTTTACATTCCCCTCCTGGGTGACCCTGTGTGCACACTGCAGGTTTACACCCCCCCCAGCCCGCCCCTCCTTTTGGATGAGTCTGTCATGCCCAGACTGGAGAGAGGCTGGTGCTACTGCTGGGGCGGGGGGCGGGGGTGGGGGTATAATGAGGTACAGACAAAGAGGTGGAAGCTTGATAAATGAGAGGAGGCCCGGCCGTCTCTTCGCCGACCTTCACTTACCGCGCAGGGTGAACAGACGACAGCATGAACACCAGCAGCACAACGTCTAGGCTCCGGGGGGGGAAAGGCAGCACGGCACCCCCTTGGCGGATGTCATGCACAAAGGCGTGACAGACAGAGCCATCGTAGCCAGGGTGGTCCTGAGCGAGAGGGGAGGGGTGGCTGAGATCCCCGTTTCAACCACTATCGAATCACATCCGGTGGCTGATTCTGATTGGCTAAAGGAAGAGCAAAAACACCCAGTGCACTCCAACACCTGTAAACAGATAACCTGCTTTTAAACTACAGGGTGTGTTTCTATGGAAACTGGGTTATGTGTCCAGAAAGGCAGCGAAACCTTAAAAGAAAATGTTAAGCGTTACATTAACAGCTAAAACTGAAACCCACAGAGCGGAATGTAGTGCAGCCAATATGTAAAACACACACACTAACATTGTTTTATTTATTTCAGACCTGTGATAAATCATTACACAACCCCACATATGCATTAGTCTGAAGGTTTGGCTTTGGCAGGTAAAACACTTAAATCAAAAATTTCCCAAGTAATCTATAAGGGTGAAATAATCCTGAAGCTCTGAGAAACACGTATACAGCTGCCAGAGTCCTGACAGAATTATCTGGAAGACGCCCAGCGGCTGCCGCAGGATTCTCTGCAGCCTCGGATTGCAGGGCCCTAAAAAGCCGTCGCTGCCATTTCCTGAAAGCCAGAGCATTCAGAGAGCACTAAATGTGCGCCGGGCTGCAGAGCAGCCGGCCGTTAGCCTGGGCTGGAGTGTCAGTGATAACGCCATCAGGCAGTGCAGATGCCTGGCACTGCAAACTGGCTGCTCTGCTTACCTAACAAAGAAGAGCAGCATGGGACCTAGACCTCGCTGAGAAAACTCACAGGATGCACTGCAGAACTGAGCTCTGTTGCTGTTATCATGCTTAATATGCACTTTCTACCATGTTAAATGCCAAAAAATGTCAAGTTTTCCAAGAGACAAATGTGTCCACAAAACTGAAAGGTATTTAAATTCGTCTTTAGCGACAAGAGTTCCATTTCAATAACCAGGTCGTTAAGCAAAGTGATCGCTAAGTGAAAATCACGGTAGCCTAGCCGAGACCGTGACCAAGGATACCAAGTCTCATAAAACCGGCATGACGCTCATGCTTTCAGACTCTCATACTCACACAAGAAATCTAATGGCAAACCTATATTATTCCATTATAAACCTAGAATTAGCTACATCAAAAGCGTTGGGGTAGTTTGCAAACCCTACAGATTTGCAAGGTAATGAAACTGTTACATACATGTAAATGTGTGTGCAGACTTGTCTCAAACTGAAAATCTCACTTCAGCCAATTCGGCAGTCCCATCTAACTATGCTTATGACTTTACTTCAGCCTTCCATACTCAATTTCTTTTATCCTTCCTGGAGTGGACATTTTTAACAACACTTTGTACTTTCTGCTTCAAAGATCTTTTCTAAGGCCGGTGTGTTTTGTTGTCAGGCATATGAAATTTGCTCGTAAATGCACACATTCGTCGGAATGGTACCAAGGTAGTCACTAAAAAAAGGAGTGGTTGTATTTACATATATAATACCTTCAATACATGCAAAATAGAATCTGTACTACTAAACATGCAAAATATGCTCCCATTGAAAATGAACAGTGCAGAACTGCGGCAGTTACCTTCACCAGCCGGACCGCGCGCGGAGAGAAGTCACAGCAGTACAGAAAGGATCCCGTGCCCCTGCAACACACACAGCCATGCAGACCATTGACAAGGGGATCTGGTTTTGTCTTTTTAACTGCCTACTTAGGGTGATGTGTTACTTAGCAGCTAAGAGCTATCGACAAGGGAATACTGCAAAATGGAAAATACTATGAAACAGAAATGTATTAACCATCCATTTTCCAACTGCTTGTCCTTTACAGCAGTGTTTCCCAATCCGGTCCTCAGGGACCCACAGACAGGGAGCTGACAGGGAGCAAAAACATGGACTGACTGGCAGGGAGCTTGAAGGGAGCAAAAACATGGACCGACTATAGGTCCCCAAGGACTGAATTGAGAAACACAGGCAGCCTGAAAGCTTAGGGCAGCATAAGAGCACATCCTGAACAGGAGGCCAGTCCATCAAACACCATGGGTAATTTTTAGAGATGCCCGGTCATGGAACTGCTCCCAGTCCCCCTATTTCAGACTGCCCTGTGTTTTGCACTTTAAGTATTGTGAAAACCCTCTCCTTGTCGGCTCTTTGTATGGTGCACCACGGTCCTGTATACCTGTATATGAATGGTAAGGCAATAAACCCACCTGACTTAAATACCTGTCTTTGGGGAGAAAGACTGGAGTATCTAGAGCAGGGCTCTCCAACTCCGGTCCTGGAGAGCTACTGTCCAGTAGGTTTTCTATTGTACGCGGCTACTGATGAGCCACACCAGGTCTCAGGTAAATACCAGGAACAGGTGTGGCTCATCAGAAGCCAGGTAGGATAGAAAACCTGCTGGACAGTAGCTCCCCAGGACCGGAGTTGGAGACCCCTGATCTAGAGGAAACCCACATGGGCAGAACATTTAAACCCAAGAAGCATGAGGTGGGATTTGAACCCTCAGTGCCAGATGTCCGAAGTAGCAGAACTAGCCAATGAGCCACCCAAAGGCAAGGTAACTCCAGGCAATTAATTTTGCCAAATTAATCAACACATCACACATCTTGATGAAACTATAAAGATTTAAATTAGGACCTTAAACTAAATAACATTGTTTAATAGGTACTACAGCACACATGATTACATCAGTATCTAAGCTGGACAACATTCAAATGAGATGAGTCACTATATGCAATAAATCAACCAAGACATTAACAGATAATGGAGGGCCAAACCTAATGTCATTAGCATTTAATTATTATTTTTAGTATTATTTATTTATATTGCTGTGGATTTCAGTGGAAATCATGTGATGGTGGCTCAGTGGGAAGCACTGTAGCCTCACACCCTTGTGGTTGTGGGTTTGAGTCCTACCCCCAGCTCTGTCTCTATGGAGTCGGCGTGTCCTCTCAGTGGCTTTCGTCCTGCAGTTCACTCATGGTTAGGTGAACCTCTGTCCTGCCCATAGAATGTGTGATTGTGTGTTCCTTGCAACGGCCAACCCTCTCATCCGGGGTGCTGCCTGTCTTGTGCCCTTGTGATCCTATACGAGGATCCAGAATAGCCCTGTGAACTGTGCTCAAATCTCTGAACAGTCCCGCAGTTGAGCAAACAAGCAGCTACTAAACCTACTAAATCACTCCAGTGTCTCTCCGGGAATTCAAACACACAAGCAGTTTATTTACATTAGTTATTCAAAAAGCATCGCGTCCACCACCCAACTGATGCACCTGCCACCTTCAACAGGTGAATCAAATGCCGCACTTGGAATTTCCTTACATTTTCAATTTTCTGGATAATCGCAGACAGAAGACAGCGCTATCGTGCAAGGCAGGAAGAAAAAGAATCCTTCTTTCGAAAGCCCAATGCAATAAAACTAACAGCCTTTGGGGGGGATTACTGGCCCTCTGCCAGACCACCGTTTCAATTATATGGGGACTTTAACACAAATTAATATTTGACTGGCAGAGTTTATTATCCCATGTTCTGTAATGCAGATTGAGAATAACACAGAAGACTCCATCAAAAGCAGCTATGAAGAATCACATGGGCCATTAAGCAGCATGAAAAGCCCAGTGATTTAGATCTGTGTGACATTTAGGCAACTGTGACTCACGGAATCCACACAAGCTCGCTGTAATATAAAGGTTATATTGCTTGTGGCTGGATTTCAACGTGGGGGGGGGTGTATCTTAATGACATCCACGTCACACTCATCCTCCCAATGCCAGGCTGTTAGTCTGGCTTCGATCCTTTAGTGCAGCTTCAGCATCTGTTTGGCTTTGATTTGTCCCTTTCTGTTTGGCTCAAACCGCACCCTGCCCGTTCCCGTGATCCATCCACCATTGCCCATCCGCCGTGGCTTTGCTCACTGACAGGCGTTTCTCCTCCCCTTATGTCGCAAGCCAAAATATTCACATTGTCATGGAACATATGCCAGGGATAGAGGCCATGGCTTTATCTATATCCCTCATTTTCATTACGAAATCATCAGCTTGGCACTTTACAGCCCATATAAAAATGTAGGAATACCAGAGCACTGAGCATAATCAATAAAATGACATAGAATCACTTTATGGCATGTTATGTCTGTTAACATCACTGTATCATACCATTAGAGCAAGTAAATTACGGATCCGCAAATACGCTACAGAAGCTGACACTTTCATACAGAGAATTAAGGAGAAATACACTGCCCGGCCAAAAAAAAAGTCGCCATTTGAATTTTTCGTTGGACTGCCTTTAGCTTTGATTATGGCGCACATTTGTCATGGCATTGTTTCCACTGGCTTATGCAACAACTCACCCTTTATTTTCATCCAGATTTGCATTCAAATTGACAAGTGAGTTGAACCACTCCATAAAGCCTCCTTCAGCGCATCCCAAAGACCTTTAATGAGGTTAAGGTCACAACTGTGTGGTGACCAAGTCATGCGTGAAAACGATTCCTCATGCTTTCTGGACCACTATTTGACAATTCGAACCCAATGAATCTTGGCGTTCTTGTCCTGGAATATGCCCACGCCAGCAGGGAAGAAAAAAAATCCACTGATGATGGATGGAGGTGTAACCTGGCCATTCAGTAGATTCAGGTACTCTGGTGACTTTACTTCATTGCTGCATAACGTTGCTGACCTGTAATAATGATCCAGTCAGTGGCTCTTAAGTATTTGCTGATCTAAATTCAAATGGCGACTTTTTTTTTTGGCCAGGCAGTGTATATAATGTTTGACTCCAGCTCCCCTTCTCCCCCATGACAGGGTAATGGATAAGCGGTTAGAGATTGGATGGATAAATGGATGGGTAATAACTTTAAACTGTTATATTTTAGCACACCAAATTAAATATATATATATATATATAAACCAAAATGTCTATTCCATTCATTCAAAACCAAACATCTATTGAACCTAATATTATAACTCAATCTTTAAAATATAAAACAGGAAGATAAACTAATATTAGAATTCCCTGACTAGAGTCCATTTTCCATTCCTCTGTGGGCAACGAACAAATTTGGGCAGAGAAACCAGACAGTATCAAACAATGTCAGAATAAGTGTGTGTGATATTTCTTTGTCAGGCTCACCTGATAGAGCTGATGATGGGAAACACACTGTTACCAGCTCCACACCCAATCTGAAAAAGATAATACTGTCACAAGTTACCAAACATGGCAAAAACAATATTCTCATATACACATGCACGCAAAGTTACGTCTTTGTTATATCTGCAATATCACCTTTGGAAAGTTCATCATTGACAAATTACAGCATTATGTCTGTAACCTGTTTCTACTAAAATCCTTTATTGAATAACTTGATCACAATTGTATTGATATCAATACAGTAATAGGTACTGGGAAGTGGAGTGGAGACCCTCATGCAGTGTTGTAATGTTGGGATAAAAATCACAATACTTTTTATTCAAATAACTCCTGTTGCCCACACCAATAGAAGTCATACCCAGATCGAAAAATATTTCATTCTCTGTACCTCGAAGATCCTGAAAGATGCCTGCTTCCCAGGGAAATCAGCAGTCTCCCCATCACCCCCCGAGCCCTGCTGAAGGGTGGGTGCCCCATTCCGCTGCCCCTCCCCCGGTTCAGGAACCAAAATACAGCCCGGTGTCTCTGTGGTAAGCAACTCTGGGAATTCATGGAACAGCCAGCTGCGGTCCTTGAAGAATTTGTTCTGGTGCATCTCATAAAACCCATCCCAGTATTTACTGGCATCTATGTCAAACTTAGCTGAGGGCAAAAAAGAGTGATGTCAGTGTATTTAATTATGTAAAGTTTAGTGACACATTTTAAACCATTTTTTTGGTTCTTGCTTAAAAAAAAACCTGGTTGATAAATGTAATTAATTATTCACAATAATCTCATGCTTAAGATCATCTTACCCTGCTCCGCAACTGGAATTTTTTCTCTGGAATTTTCTGTTACTTTTTGCCTTGCAAATTCTTTCTCTTGCTCTGACCACTGAACATGGTCCCTAAAAACACAAACCCCCACACTTTAAGCTATAATTAAGTCCTCAGTACAGCTTTATTATGTCTTCAATTATTATTTCATTATATTCTTTAATAATTATGCCTGTAGCTGTATACAGCTAGACATGTTGCCCCATAACTAATCTGCTTGCATAAAATGATGAAAACGAAGGCTGCTTTTTAATAATTCTTGTGGTAAGTAAATTCAGGATGGCCCACATGTGCCAGATAAGGCAAGCATACCACATGTTGTGCCGGAATATATGCTCCGGATTGGTAAGTATCCTCGCACCCAGTGGAGCTGGTGGCCGGCCTTCACTCTTTGCTCGTTTGCAGCTGAACCATCCTGCAACCTCGATTGCCGGGGCCAGAGGGAAACGCCACAGCGCTCGCATTACACTTCTTACACAGCAAAAACAAATAAATAAAACATAAATGCTGCATTAGAACAAGGAATATCCAGGACCTGTATCATGAACCTGGTTTAACAAAGTCAGGATTACAAGATAAATTTCAGCTTAATAAAACCAAACAAATGCAATCTGAGAAAAATAATATCATGATACTGATTACCAACAATTTATGTCGAGTCAGGTTCTTACTGAAGCTAAGGCCCAATCCCATGTCCCCCCTAAGACCTAACCCCTGATCCCTCACAGACTTAATTGACATTACATGGTAAGTGACTGAGTGTGAGAGGCCCCAAGGGCTCAAAATGGTATAAACAGAAATGGCACAGCATGTTGTGGCACATCACGTTACCTTGACAACGCCAAAATATGTTCCTGACTATTGTGGGTTTGGGACTTTTCATTTTAAGATTTGCACTTTCTTCATGGCCAACGTACATAAGGACTGACGGCCTAATTTGAACGTATACTTGTCAAATAATCAATGTACTCTTTTTGTCAAAACAGCACCATTAAGCAATAACTAAAAGAAATGGTTTCTTTGCTGTTTATGCTAGGCTTGGCTGGCATCTATTTTCTCATACCTACTTTATTTAAAAAAAAAAAAATGTAAATCATGTAAACTCCTGAATCACAGAGAGCCTAAATGGGTTCAACAATGGGAAATTGAGTACTAAGGAAATCAGGAGACAATTTCTTGCTGCAGAATTTTTAAAAATCACCATTTGTCTATTGACGCCACCGTCACTGTCTGTTCTGCTGCACCTGCCCAGTCTGCAGCCACATGTACACTAGGTTTCATGCATGCTGCTCTGACAGTTTACTTTAATGAGGCTCCAGTCACAGCTAACACTGTGCACCACAATATATTGCCTTAATACAGCATCTCCATATCAGTTTAATAGAATGATGAGCTTCTGTATTTTGACGGTATTAAAAATAATACCTTTGGGATTTCTCAATACTGGGGTATTCCACAATACCTAAAATACCGCCCTAGCCTAGTTTACGCTTCCAGTCTTCCCTTGGACCACTCATTCATTTCTATGGGAAAAATGCTAACGCTAACTATGACAACCTTAACCCCTACCCAGCCCTAGCCATAACCAGGGCTATGGAGTCGGAGTCGGAGTCGAGGAGTCGGAGTCGGAGACAATTTTGGGTACCTGGAGTCGGAGTCGGCAAAAAGTTAACCGACTCCGACTCCTACTAAATTTAAATGGGAATTAAAAAAGTAAGTTGAAATGTCCCAATTCACAAACAGTCATAATGAACTACTTCTCTGCTGTAAGAATAAAGCCCAATGCATGCAGTGCATAATGTTACCACAAAACGAACATGTCAAGTAACCATGAAGCATGCTTTTCATTGACTGTATGCGTCACTATATGGGATGTAATGCACAGGTAAGGCGCGGCACCGCTTTCCATTGTGTCGTGTTCCACTGTTACAGGGAACTGTGAACCTAGCCTAAAGCCCCCCATACATTTACAGATGCACTGCCGATTTTTCGGCCGTTCAACGAGTCATCACGCGTCAAACGCCTGAAAAATCACCTGGTGTGTTCTCAGCTCCGTCGGCTCCCCTTCACTATGCGCTACCCTTGAAACCTTGTTTTCATTGTGTTTGTCTTTAATCTGGCATTATAGTAGAGTGTTGGCTTCCTAGCCAGTAGTTCTGTGGTGAAATGACATGTGTGTTGCCTTCCTTTCCTTCAATGGATGTAGAAAATACATTAGCATAGTATATACATACAGAGGAGTCGGAGTCGGGGAGTCAGAATCGGAGCTGGAAGATTTAGAAACTGAGGAGTCGGAGTCGGAGCATTTATCTACCGACTCCACAGCCCTGGCCATAACCATAAGTAACCAAACAAAATACATGAGTTTTTGCATTTTTAGTTTTTTCATTGCAGTCACGGATTTTTATAAAATAGAGTTTTCTTATATGGGGACCAGGAAACTAGTCCCCATAAGGAAAAAAGAAAAAAGAAAAAAAAAACGGGTATTCATCACGTTGTGGGGACATTTGGTCCCCACGAAGTAAGGTATACCTGGACCACACACACACACATGCACACACACAGTTTTGTAATTATATCTTTGTGGGGGCTCTCCATTAATTTCTTTGGGGAAAACTCTAATCCCAACATGATGACTTTAACTGTAAGTAACCAACCAAACAAAATATAATTTTTTTGTTTTTTGACTGCATTCACAGATCTTTGTGGGGACCAGAAAAATTGTCCCCACAATGTAAAAATAAGTATTTATTACATTGTGGAGAACATTAAGTCTACGCAATGTAACATAGACATAATCCACACACACCCACACACACACACACACACACACACACACACGGCATAGATGTGTGGCTGAGGAAGACAACAAAGGTGCTGACCTAATCCTGGCGAATGACATCCATGTTCATTTATAATTACACCATTCAAAGTGCAAAGGGTAGAGTAAAAGGACTAATAGATATAAAGCTAAATGAGACTGACATGTTCAGTATCATGTGGTCTAAGCAATAGACCAGGGTTTCTCAACCCGGTCCTCGGGGACCACCAGGCGGTCCACATTTTTGCTCTCTCCCAATTCCCTGCCAATTGGGAGAGAGCAAAAACGTGGACCGTCTGGTGGTCCCCGAGGACTGGGTTGAGAAACCTTGCAATAGACTATAGCAGAGGCCACCAACATGGTGCCCGCGAGAATGTTTATTATACATGAAGTTTAGATAAGTTTAGGAGGGCGTTTCAAACTGGTAGCCCTTCGTATGGCTCACTAACCATGAAGTAGCTCTCAGTTTCAAAAAGGTTGGTGAGCCCTGGACTATAGGGTACAATCCATACCACTTGATTTTCAGATGATGTATTTCTACACATCTTTATTAATAATTGCACTATTTCCATTCACCACCATTGGCTGTAAGAGGGTGACAGCTGTTGAACGTGAAGTACGCAAGTGAACGTTCAAATGTTAATTTAAATTTATCTGTAAAGTAGTCCGGAAAACCAAGGGGTGTGCGAGAATTGCTGTCAACTCCGAAAGCTGAACCAATAATTCATTATAGAAGAGATCGCCTCTTTCGTAGATATTACCAAGATTTAGCACACATAGGGAAAGGGCATCTCTGCCTGTGGACATCAAAGGTCTCTGATTAAAAACTGACTGGCTTGTTTGTTGAAAGATATTACAGCAGGGATACTGAATATCGAGTATACTAACTTTCCTGCAGTCACCAGACTCTCATGTCATATTGTGAGTTTGGGAAAGCCCATTTGTTACGTCAGGTAATGTACAAAATTCTTCTCTGATTGGTCCAAGCACTGTTTGAGATCTGTGATCCTGAAATATAATGTGCTCCAGAGCAGGTTAGGCATGTAGCATGAGTTACCATGGTGACATATCCCAGTGTCATGATATCAGAAATCCAGAGTTACCTCTATTTACATACATGGATGTTGGTACCCTTACAGCTCATTGAAACAATGCTTCATTCCTCCTGAAAAGTCATTCAATTAAAAGTAATTATGTCTTGTATACTTGCATGCCTTTAGTATGTGACAGAATAAACCAATAAAATTGTGGAAAGAAATTAATTATTGTTTGTTTTACAAAGATAAGCTAAAATAGCCTGGACAGATTTGTTGGTACCTAAAAAAGATCATAAATCATTGAATCATAGTCATGTTTCAAATGGTTTAATTTTAATTAGTATTGCAGGTGTCGTCAACCTTTTTATCAGCCATTCAGCCTTTTTAAAGAGAGAAAACTTGCCACTGTGTAGTTTGGTTTTATTATAAGTGCCACACTGAACATGGACCAGAGAAAGCAGAGGAGAAAGCTGTCTGAGGGGCTCAGAAAGAAAACTGCAGATAACCATGTTAAAGGTAAAGGCTATACGACCATCTCCAAGCAGCTTCATGTTCCTATGGGTACAGCTGCAATTATAAAGTATAAGGTCCATTGGACTGTAGCCAACCTCCCAAGACATGGCCACAAGAGGAAATGCAGCTCCAGGTTGATGAGATGGTTAGTGCAAAGGGTACACAAAGAGCCAAGGAAACCATCCAACACCATTCAAGCTGAGCTCCAAGGTCATGATATGTCACTGTCTGATCACACCATCTGTCACCTTTTGAACAACAATGGAAGAAGATCCAGGAGGACTCCACTATTGAAAGAAAAGCATAAAAAAGCCAGAGTGGAATTCGCCAGAATGCGTGTTGACAAGCATGTCGACAAGCTGTAAAGTTTCTGGGAGAATGTCCTTTGGACTGAGGACACAAAACTGGATCATTTTGGCAAGTCATATCAGCTCTATGTTCACAGATGGAAAAATGAAGCTTTAAAAGAAGAGAACACCTTACCTACTGTGAAACATGGAGGGGGCTTGGTTATGTTTCGAGGCTGCTTGCAGGGACGGATTACGGACCGGGCCAGCGGGGCCGCTGCCCAGGGGCCCTTGGGGTGCAGGGGGCCCGTGGGGCCCTTAGCCCAAAACAATTTTTAACGCTTATCAACAATGTATTTTCGTTTGTCTATTTTAGAGGGTCTACATTCTTTGATCCTCTGCCTACAAGGGCCCCTGACCCTATAGGGCCTCTGATGGAAACATGGAGGGAGGGCGTTTGGCTGCCAAGGGCCAGCGTGAACGTGAACGTTTTGCCCAGGGGCCCACACTACCCATAATCAGTCCCTGGCTGCTTGGCTATGTCTAGCACAGGGAACAGTGAATCTGTGCAGGGCACAATGAGGTCTCAAGACTATCAAAGCATCCTGGAGCAAAACATACTGTCCAGTGTCAGAAAGTTCAGCCTCAGTCGCAGCTCATAGGTCCTCCAACAAGATAATGACCCAAAACATACAGCTAAAAGCACTCAAGAATGACTGGTAAAAAAAAAATACTGGACTATTCTTAAATGGCCCTCTATGAGGGCTGATCTTAATCCTACTGAACATCTATGGAAAGATCTGAAAATGCAGTGAGAAGCAGACACCCTTTAAACCTGAGACAGCTGGAGCTTCTTGCAGATGCAGAAGTCGCATTTGTGAACTACAGAGAAAGTTTAGGGTATCAACTTTTTTGTCCATGCAATTTTCATTTGTTTTATTATGTAAAATATTCAGTTGAATCAAAAATCAAAAGCAACGTCTTATTTGTGTTAAACATGGAATCAACAACAACGGATGCCACTAACTTTAGTCGGTTTCAAGTTATTTCTGAGATAATTGTCTGATCTTTTTTTCATTGAAGGGTACCAACAAATTTGTCCACATATGTAGCCTCAAAGTTATCTGACTAAGCAAGAAATCCGGCTTAGTGATATAGGCTCCAGGTTAGGCGTGTACCATGATGATGTATCCCAGTAAGAAGTGATTCAGCATCATGATACAGAAAAGCTAGATTTCTATTTCATTCCTCCTGACCGCTAGAGGTGGCCTCAGTTTCGCTGTTCAAAAGGGTACCTGCGGTGGCTGAGTCAGTCGCCCTTGGTTCACCTCTTGGATACAGGGTGCACTTGTCCAGTCCATCCCATCTTTTTGCTTCTAACACTGGGGCACATACTGCATGCTCTGTTGATGATGCTTTTCCATTGCAGCTGGGCAACTGGCTGCCTCTGCTGGACATCCGCAATTCATACAACCACTGCTACATACGTAACTACCGTAACCTCTATTTAGCCTCAAAAATATCCGACTAAGCAAAAAATTCATGATACAGACCCCTGGTGCAGACAAACCCGATCTGCGGTCATCCCACTCACTCCATTAGAAATAATTAGATCTTCAGCCTCATTTGCGTATACTTTCATCGTATGGAAAATTATTTCAATACTGTACAGATTACCATTATCATTTACTTCTCTGAGTGTATTTTAATTTATATCAACTACTTTTATACAAAACTATACAGCACTGCAAAGAGTGTTGCATTTCGTAAAATATGACATTAATGTATAGTTAAGTAACGTCACTAAAATTACAATTTGCTTGCATGGGGTTCCATTTGCACCAAAAATATACCGATATGCGCACTGTAACATGTAACAAAACCTCTGTGTGTCTATTCGACTTTGAACTGAACTTAAGCCGTGACAACACCATTTTGAGAACGAGATATCTATGTTGATTGCACACCTGACAAAACATTTTTCTGTCAGTTCAACTTTAAACTCTACCTTTGTCATCTTAGCACATGATGTATCGTTTTCCTTGACGTTTGACTGAGCCGTTATGCATGTCGTCCTCATTCTGTCGCCTGACTGTTGTTATTAATGTTGTATTGATTACTTCGGTCGGAAAAAATGTTAAATGTGTAACAGTATGTTCTTTCATACTTCCTTCGTTCATTGATGGATATATATAAATGATGCAATACAGCACCAAAACGGAAGAGACAAAATGTGGTTATAAATGAAAATTCAATCGACCGAATCGATGCCGTGTGACTTAGGTTATGACGGTTTTGTTTAGAGCCCGCCCCTTTGACAGATCATTTTAATAGTTGATGGTTTCATTTACAGAGTAATATAAACTATCATTTAAATAGTTGTTTAAATGACTATTTCAATAATAATTTAAATGACAGCTTAATCTTTAATTTAAATGATCATTTAATGGCATATTTGTCAATAATCATTAAAATGGAAATTTAAATTACAGTTTAAATAACCATTTAAATGACATATTTATTTATTTAATATTATCACAAAACACCTTCAATATTTCTGCATTGCAAGGCGTTGTTTTTGGAACTACTTCGAGTTTGCACTAAAAAAGCAGAACAAACCAATGTTTGCATTATAGGGACGGAAAGTAAAATTATTTTGTACCACGTCAACGAAAATGAGTAAGATAAAAAATAACAAGCTTGTAGGCTATGTGATTCACAAATACTATGTTAAGTTTCCACAAATGTGTATTTTTAGAAAATTATTTTAGCTGGTTGCTTAAAGTTTAGAGAGCACTTTTGGGCCCCCCTTGACCCAGGGCCCGGGGACCTGGTTAAGATACTTGGTGAATGTCCTCTTTTACGATCCATGGAACTCATACGGAAAAGACTCGCCAAGACAATGCAAAACTACAAATCCCAAAATGCCCCAGGAGACGTGATGTCATTACAACCGCGCGGCGATACTCTAAAAAGAAGAGAGACTGGAGATGTGCATGTAATGCAAGAAGCTTCGAGTTATATATCGGTTTTGATTTTTTTTTATCATTTTTTTTCTCAAAACATATATCAACGTAATTGTCATACCATGATGTATATCGGACATATAGCCAGAAAGGAAAATGGAATGAGGTTTGCGGGCTGCATCTAAAAGCGTTTTCCAGAATAACTCAAAAGTACCTCAGAGAAGCTGCTGAAACTAAGTGTATCATTAGACATTAGCTAATTTCTGAACGCTACATGCTTTTGGATTATACATCATATTGCTCGTTGTAGACCGACGCAAAGAACTAGTTAGCTAGCTTTTTAGTTACAGCTCTCCGGCAGCCGTACTTGCCTGTGTGTGTGTGTGTGTATATATATATATATATATATAGGCGTACCAAACTTACGCAGAGACCAATACGATTAATTACTGTAGCTGTGTAGGACGGGGCTGAAGTACATTAATAGTATTAGGCGGCTAGTTACTCACCGTATTTGCGGTCTACTTAAGTTGAAGGCCAGTCCAACATGGCCACACTTTCCACACGGTGCTCAAAATACTCACCAACACCCATATGTTTGAATCTCGCGCGACCCCAGGTGTTGATGAGCGCAAACGCCAGCGTACACATGTCACTGAGGTCTATAGGTGCCTTTTCCACGGATGCTGGGATGCTGCTTAGGAAAAATATGAGGTTGCTTCGGCAACTTATTCTTAAGGTAATTATAGTCCTTTTACATATACCTGGATTCAGTATATGTCGCATTTAATGCATTTATTGCATTAAATTTTATGTATATTTTCCGTAGGACACAACTGAGTTTAAAAAAGTTTGGACAAGACATTCAAAATCCCCAATTGCATATGAAAGTGGGAAGATTTATTTCGAAAATTACCGGTGCTGCTTCAGTAGGTAATGCTAAATGGACTCGGTGTATCCTGCTTTTTACTGGGCTAATTATATATTGAAAATTAACATGTACAACTTAAATGTGTAGCTGTTTATTTGATAAATTTTCAGTTCATGATTTAGATGCATCTGGATCACTACATTAAGGCCAACGTTGTGTTTTCTTGTAGTATTCCTTCAAATCCACAATTCCTGTACGAATTACCCAAAGTATCTAATGCAGAGAAGATTGAAGATGCTCTACTGTGCCAGTGTCCTCTTGTAAGTGAACTTTTTCTTATGTATTAACTTGAGATATTGCAAAAATTGTAATTGACTACATTTAGTGTTTCGAGTGTCTTGTAGCATATGCAGATTTTTCCCTGTAAGAGGACTGTGCCCCCTCCCACCAACCCCCCATCACTGATTGAGGCTGGCTGACTGTCATGATACTTTGATTTTTTTTCTAGGATTTTACAAAAAAAATATTTATAACCAAAGTCGAACTTTTCAGATCCAGAAAGTAAAAATCCAAACCAGGACTTTGTTCTAACCAACCAGTTGAGTACTCTGTGACTCTTTATATTCAACTGGTTGGTTGAAACAAAATCCTGGTTTGGATTTTTACTTTCTGGACCTGAAATGTCCCCCTCTGTCTATAACTATAAAATTCTGTTCTATAACTACTCCACCATACTGCTGAGTAGTTTAAAAACATGTAGTTAGATTAATTGGTGTCTATAAATTGTCTGTAGTGTGTAATTGATGTATGACTGTGTGCTTTGGATGAAATGACATCCCATTCAAGATATCTCCTTTATGGTACACTGTTTCATGGAGCCTCAACCGTTGTCTTTAAGCCTTTTTTTTACTCTGTCATCATGTGTTTTTGCATATATAGGAGAAAGCACTGCCACAATCATCAGACCAAAAGCCCTGTCTCCTGGCACTGACAGCAAATAACTGGCTGTATCGCTACTCAACAAAGACAGGAGAACAGCTGCAGAAAGTTTATCTCTCCCCACGCTATAAGTTCAGGTAATTAACTTACAGTCTGAAATATTGCCAAATTGCCAAGGCCCTTGCTGTCTCCTCTTTTAAATTTACTATATGGACAAAAGTATTGGGACACCTGGCCATTACACCGACAGGAACTTTTATGGCATCCCATTCTAAATCCAAGCGGGCATCAATATGGAGTCGGTCCCTCTTTTGCCACTGTAACAGCTGCCAGTCTTCTGGAAAGGCTTTCCACAAGATTTTAGAGTGCCTGTGGGATTTTTTACCCGTTCATCTAAATTTGTGAGGTCAGGCACTGACCTTGGACACCAAACTCTTCTATGCCAAATGCACCCAACTGTTTTTATGGACCTTTTTTGTGCACTGGGGTACAGTCATACTAGAACAGAAAAAGGTCTTCCCAGTTCTGTGGAAGCATAAAATTGTTCAATATGTCTTGGTATGCTGAAGCATTAAGAGTTCCCTTCACTGGAACTAAGGGGCCTAGACCAACCCCTGAAAAACAACCGCATACCATTATCCCTCCTCCACCAAACTTTACAGTTGGCATAATGCAGTCAGACAGGTAACATTCTCCTGGCATCTGCCAAACCGACTCATCCATCAGACTGCCAGACAAAGAAGCGTGATTTGTCACTTCGCAGAACACATTTGCCCTGCTCCAGAGTCCAGTGGCAGTGTGCTTTACACCACTCCAATCCGATGTTTGGCATTGCGCTTGGTGATGTGAGGCCTGCATGCAGCTGCTCGGCCATGGAAGCCCATTTTTGTGCTGGAGTTAATGCCAGAGTAAGTTTGGAACTCTGCAGTTATTGAGTCAACAGAACATTGGTGACTTTTACACACTGCATCTCAGCACTTGTTGATCCTGCTGTTACTTTACGTGGTCTGCTACTTTGTGGCTGAGTTGCTGTTGTTTCTAACTGCTTCCAGTTTGCAATAAATACGTACCACATACAGTTGACTGTGGAATATCTAGTAGGGAAGAAATTTCACAAACTGACTTATTGCAAAGATGGCATCCAATGACAGTACCATGCTTGAATTCACTGAGCTCCTCAGAATGACCCATTCATTCACAAATGTTTGTAAACCTGACTGCATGGCTAGGTGATTGATTTTATACACCTTTGGCAATGGGTCTGACTGGAACACCTGAATTCAGTGATTAGGAGGTGTGTCCCAATACTTTTGTCCATGCAGTGTTGTACTTCTGGCACAAATGATGAATTTCTTAACCATATGGCGTCTAATACCTCTTAGATTTTTTTTTATAACAAAATCAAAGTATGATAGATGTAGTATCTTACAACTTGTTGCATGTTTAATACCACCAAATTTCAAGCTGAAAAGTTTGAAATGTGATAGTCTGCTACAACAAATTTTACATTTTCAAATTTCATTTTATATTATAACTGAATACCATTACTGCTAACTTATAAATTCTGTTTGTCATTTATTATTAAATGTCACTTTTTGAAAATCCGTACTGTATTGCAGTATTTTCACAGTCAAAGGTTCGGCTATACTGTGATGACATATTGCATCCACATTTTTTCATTTAAAGAGCTCTGGTGAAAACATTTTGTAAAGTAATGCTTGTATTTAAAGCATATGTGTCAAAGCACTTCTTATACAGTACTGTGCAAAAGTTCTTGGCAGTCAAATGAAACGTTTAAAGCTGTTTATCTGGGTAGTAAATGCACATTTGCACAGAACAAAAAACACAATGTAACATTAGAACATATGCAAATTAAGAGTAATGCAGTAAAAATTTGTAAGAATTTCTTCTGTTCTCCAAAAAGTTACTGACATCTTGTTGGATGGCTAGATGAACCCCACTTCAGTTCCCAAATCTCTCCTCAGCGACACCCCAGCCATAACATGTCTTTATTAAATTTCACCACCAGCTCACTTAATTAATCTAATTAGTGAGGTATTGATTAGCTATACGAGGTGGGCTAGTGGTCGAGTCAAAAAACACATGGGTGTATGGATGGCTGCTGCAGATACTGTGGTGATTTCAGCAAAGGTTTTCAAATGGCTAAGCTAACACACTCTGACAGGCGTAACAGCATCATTTTACACCAACACGAAGATCATTTAAACATTTTCTTTGGCTGCCTAAAACCTTTGCACTGTATATCAGTTGTCCTAACAGCACTTGGTATTCTTTGCATCTTTGTCAGGTACCTTGGTTGGGATGTTCCCCAGGAAACATTCTACATTAAGTCTGTTCAGAATAAACCGTCCGTCATGGCAAGGCAGGTAAGTATTTTTGCTAAAGTCTACGTATGTGACATTACTACTGAACAATAAGCAGTGTAAGTTTATGCATTCATTCATTTTTTTCTGTTCTCTCATAGGCTGGTCTTGACAACAACACCATAATATACCTGGCTGTACTCAGTGTTTTTCCCCTGGAGGTGTTGGCTGTTCTGGAGATCAACAAAAAAGTACATATGCTTTCTGGTGTATGTAAAATTATCCACTGTTGGTTTATCTGTTGTAAGTGTAAACTCCTGCCTGGTGCTGTTGTGTTTTCCTAGGCATTTGGAGCCACCGTCGTGGATGTGTTACTGTCTCAAGGTCTTTTGGTGATTTCTCACAGCACTAAGGTTGTGAAGCTCTACAGTTTTGAGAACATTGTTGATAAGGTAATGATCTTAATGTCCCCAGTACCATTAATACACACGATGCTTTGCCCTATTTTCAACAATTTTTCATGCATGGTCAGTGTTAGGTTATCCACATAACTAAAAATGAAAATGTACACTGCAAATATCATAGTCCTTAATATCTGTAAATAGTGAATATATTAGGGCTGTGAAGTCACAACACGTCGTTATTTCTCACGTTAACCTATGCAGTACTCTGAAACCTGAATGGGAGAATAGTACGAGCGGAGATTTTAATAGAGACCTATAATATTCCTTCTTGGTTGTAAACAATTTCAAGAGTTTAGGTAATGATGTTGTACAGAATCAGATAATTCAAAGCAAAAATTAAAACATTCAGTTAATGACTGAATGAAAATGTCTTATGAAATAGGTCACATTTTAGTTTTAATTAGTGCTGTCAAACGATAAATTTTTTTAATCAGATTAATCACAGGGTTGCTGTGGATTAATTTCGATTAA